TCGCTGGCCACGCCGCTCATTATATACTGCATCTTATCCATGTCCTTCTCTGGTTGGCTGCCTTCCTTTCCCGCATGCCACTGGATCGCAGAGAGACACGGGATTGGCTGAGGCCAGGTGGTCCAAGATGTCTGCGCCCTAATCCGACGCCACACCACACCACAATATGACGTCGTCACCACGCCGTGCTGTTTGCCATCGACTAATGACTAAGCGCCAAGATGGCGCATGTCCGCCACCACCCTCGAGTTGGTTGTGGACTTAACCGGCAACTAAATCTAAATCAACCACGTCTTGTACTCGTATCGTATTCTTTGTTCCTTAAACTGGACTTAGTCTTCACTGCTCCATTGTTGTACTATCTAACTCCATTGTGTCTAAATGCAAAGTTTCGTGCACACAATTCTAAAGTTCGCATAATGGGGCTGTAGTATGTATAGTTATGGAATTCATGCATCCAAGAAGTCACAGATTTAAAAAAAACACTTGAGTGTATGTTATGGGTGGCAGTTGTTGGTGTTCTGAACTGCGGGCATGCTACCAGCGAATAGACAAGACGGTGCTCTGTAAACCGCGTGTAAGGTAATTTTGGGCTAGAGCAAACAACGGAGGAGTAGCGAAGACTAAGTCCAGGTTCTGGAATAAAGAAGGAGATATGGGGACTTTGTTGTGGTTGACTTAGATGTAGTTACTGGGCAGTCCGCGTAAAACTGGGTGCTTATGTGGCGTTACTCACCGCTTTTTGCAAAAAAAAGTGAAAAGTTCTCGCACGCCATCAAGTTGTCTTGGATGGATTTATCTAAATTGCACGGCTTATCGAGCGTCAAGGTGTGATAAGTGCAAGAGGCGAAGCAATTAATCGAACTCGAGAACATTCGTGGACAGACTTGTGCACATTTCACGCATGTGGAAAGGTTGCCAACGCCTCCAACTTCGTCAGCCGCTGGAAAAAACTGAATATGTGGAGGAATTTGCCCAAATATTAACTTGTATATGGTAAGTTCTCATATCACATCGTGAGGTAGAATCGATTTCATTCCATTCTTCAAAATTCTCTATTCTCAGCGAATTATGTTGTTCCCGTTGTAGGCATTGCGAAGACTCAAACTGAGTACCACACCGTGTGGTGGTTTTACCAAGTCCATCATTGCCTCGCCGTTATTCTTTCTAATTCAAAAAATATAATCTCACCTCTGTCTGATGGTATTTCGCCAGCGTTTATCAAAATATTATTCAGGTACCATATTCCTCCTTGAACTTAGGGTCGCTCGCCCATCTTCGGTCGTTCTCGGTTCAGTTCTGGTGAAAGTTGGGAAACCTCCACACTTCAGGGAAGTCTAGTTTTACTTGGAATTGGTGAACTGTTCGTTGTCTTCCGATGGAAGGTAGTTACAGTGTAGCATGACTTCAAACAACATTTTGGAGGTTCTAATTTCACCCTAATAGAATGTCGCCGAGAGTGAACCTTGGGCGTCGACCGGTGAACGTCTAAATTTGAACCCCTGGGCTCATGCCATGCTCTGCTGTCACGTTGCAAACCTCGCGACATGACAGTACGATAGTTCACGTTTGAAATTTCATTGGATCCATCAAGGAGACTTGATGGTGCTCCAAGTGATGACGGTCGGGAGGTTGTTCAGTCTCTGTTGCCATAGTTGTGTGTTGAGATAATTTAACAAACTTTATCTCTGGTTCTGTCCATAATTGAGAGGGTTTACTGAGCCAGAAGCTTGATGCACTGTGAGTGATTGGTCGTGGTTTGCAGTCAGCAGAACTGTTGCGTGCTCACAACTTGCCCTACTAATTTGTTCCCTAATAGCACTCACGCGATCAGGTGACTTTGATTATGTGAAATGGTGGCGCGTTGATTTCATTCATCCAGATAACGTCCAAGTGGACAAAAGATCCATGAGAATTCGAAAATAGGGAATAATGTCGTTAGTGTGCGTTTGCGTATTATAAATAGCCAACAAAATGCGGGTAAATTCATAGGGGGAGGTTAGAGGCGAACTCCTCGACGATTTCTCTGAACAAATCTGGATGCTCTTTATGCGGAGATCCGTTGGATTCTGGCCAATCACGTTCAACGTAGAGAGGGCACGATCTCAATGCATTCAGTAGGCGACTTGTCGGTTCGCCAGTGCTCCGAATGTACAGGATGGGCGTGTAGCGCAAACTCTCGGCTACTTGTCCTGACCTGATTGTCCTGAGTTGTCCTTTAGTTTTTGCGATGACGTAGTCATGCCAGCACTTACGGAAGTAGGACCTGCCGTAGGTCGCTTCCATTCCCAATGTCCACGCGTGATTGGCGGGTGGGTCGTCGTGTAAGGACCAAATAACGAGGCCTTTGATTGGTTCTAAAGTACGCGAAAGTAGCCAATCACTGGTCGCGTCATTTTGAGGCTAATGTAAGAAATGTGGAAGTGAGGGAGGCACTCCTGGAATTTTAGTGAACTCTGTAACTAAATTATCACGAAGACGCTATTTGAACTTTGCGGGAAGGAAGCTAACAAAGCATAGTGACATTGACAAATAAACGACCTTTGACCTAACACTTTGAAGTTGATGGTTTATAGAAATAGGTGCTTCATTAGTCTTTTAGCTTAACGTCATTGGCTATAGCAATGTCCACAATTTGGCTAATTCGGTGGAAACTGAGAAACCACTAAAACTGGGTAAATGCAAAGTCTATTTGTAGAGTTATACCGCTGTAATTATGTTTTACCTCCGACTCCTTGAAATCGCATGATTAGAGACCTCGACGTAGCATCTATTTACCCCTCACCTGTGCCCTCTGAAGCAGTGTTTACGGTCGCGCAAAGAGCAGCATGAGCCCCTGTAGACCAGCCAATGAAGATGAAGGGTGTAAGGTTGATTTGACGCATCAACTGAACACCTAAATCGCCGTCCTGTTCGAGCACCCCGGGGTCACTCCAGTCACGGTACGGCGGTACACTGTTGCCACAGCCCACCGGATTCAGTGCGACAGCAGTAAATCTAACACGAAATGGCAGTCATGTAAAATCAGCAGTAGCTGTTTTGTGGCAAGTCTGCGACAGGGGTAAGCAAAAGATGCTGGTTAAGTGTTTGACACTTGCAAACTCAGGCCAAAAGTCATCTTGTTCTGGTTGCTATAACGTAAATACCTGCCATGTCTGGATACCCTAAAGTCTTGAAATTGGTTGATATGTACAGTGCTTTATTCCATATTACTGGGCATCTTGGGCACCCGACACTATGCGCCCGGAAGTGGCGACGGAAAAATGAACCACGAGGGTGCAAAAGGCTGGAGATCATTTGAGTCCCTAATAATTTGTAGTCGGCAAATTTTGATTTGGGAGGCTTTCAGGCGTCACGTAGTGTGTCTTGATGAATATCTATTTATATACAACCACACACAGGGCAGACTGTATGAAATAAGGGAACCGCCACGGTTACACGTTCAACTTAAGAACACCATTAAAATGAAAATTGAATCTTTGAATTTTGTTAATCCAACTGCTCTGCCCATTTGCTTCACAAGGTCATTTTGTAAAACTAGAGATATAAAAAAGAAATAAGTAGCTGATGAAAACAGGTCTATTTGATTCAGGACATACAGCTAGTTAAAAGATAATAACAGTAAAGCTCTTGCGATCCGTCTTTTAGGGTCGGCAGCAGAAATAAAATGCTTACTTTGATTGGTCAAACATTCGTAGAAATTCTGAGTAATCGGTTGAAACTGATCCCATTGGTCCAGGAAGCAGTAGCAAATTAATTTTGCCGTGACCAATTCTCACATAGTGCAGGCGATGGGAGAGCACATTTGAAAAGGCTCCGTATGAGAGTGAGACATCTGTGCCGCGTGAGACCGTGGAGAGGCCCCGTTTGGGCCAAATTTCTAAGCATTTGGTCATAGTTTTTCTAAAGATATTTTTAGGAGATTTAGGTGTCTTGAGAGATAATTTTTTCGTATTATGCTTGAAGAAAAAACCTTTTTTTCGTGGCGTAAACTTACTGAACTTGACAGCGGATATGTAAATTCAAAATGTTGAAATTTTAATGTGAACATCAACGTAAAGCGATAATGAGGAACACATTAAAGACAACAGGCTCGCGTCACCTAGCTTAAGAGTTTTGTTATGTCAACATTTTAGTTGAAGAGCCGAGGATAAGCCTACTGATGTGTGTGCGAAATCAACGCGACACCGAAAGTCGATTCACCTCGAAATCGATTTTATTGATTTGTCACAACGGCTTCACACAGCAAGTCAGTAATCTATGCTTTCCTCCCGTTTTTGTCTCCATTACAGAAGTCTTTCGAAATCTTCAATGACCGCTGTTGAATGGGTTAAACATTCAGATTTCCTAAATCATGTCAAACCTATCGATAGGCCTAGATTTAAAGTACCATGGCTGAGGAATTTCGCAATATATCTCCCTGGTCTCTGAAGTCCCTTTTCTACAAATTTCTAATGACAATGACACTCACTCACACATCAAAACGATGGTGATTTCAAATCTGATATCGCTAACTCTTAAAGGCCTAATACGGGTTTGTGAATGTACTAGGGTCTTATTGGCCATCGAGGCACACACAGCGCGAAACATTTTGTAATGTGAATTAGCGTAATTCAAGCTGTTAAAACTAAGGTTTGACAAAAATTGTGCAGCGAGTCTTTATTCTGAAAATTGGAATTATATTAGGTTCTTGGATAAATCGCGGTGACTATGGGCACCAAAATCATGCCGGTTAAACTTCTAGATTGTTCTTGCTTTGAATTAAACACCTCGTCTGTGGTAAACATTGATGGCTGACGTCGATCACCGCCACTACCAACGCACATCCCCACACCCCCAGTTAGCCGCTTTCCATAAACCGCATGGTTAGAAGCCCTTTTGAGAAATATACACAGCGAAATCTCCTGTTAAAGTGAATTACTTTAATTACTACATAAATAAGCTAGCTGACTCTCAAATAGTGGATGCCACGAGGCTTTTAATAGGTGTCATCATAAACACATTAACTGAACTCGAGTGCCCTTTACACGCCGTCGAGAACAAGATCTACTGTTGACATGTTGTAGATACAATAAACTTGCGGAATGAAATACGCAAAAACCATGAACTGTACACAGAAGATATCCTGCACTTACCCCCAGCAGATCATCTCCCCGATAAGCCTACTTTAACGACTCTTCGCAAGCCGCTGCGCCAGATAAGCGAGCGCCTAATCACACCCCAATTACACAATCTGACCAATCACTGCGCCGGAAACTGTAGCCTCGAAACGCCATCTCCGTTCTTGGTAAAACGAACTCCAAAAACACCCGTTTTGTCATTACTCTCAGTCATTTAGAGGCCAAGTTGTAAAACCGACTAATCTGAGATTGGTTGGCAAAAAGTTCCATTGTAGGCGCCCGGCTGCTCCGTGAGTCAAAGGTATGACTTTTTTCGTTGAGAAGGCGACAGTAACTAAGCTGTTGCGAAAACTCACACACAAATATCGTGATTCGTCAATTCTAACAAAAATGATGGCAAAATCAACCCCCAGGAAGAGCTGCAAGTACATAGGCGTATCATAGTGTTTTGACAATTGCAAGGTTAAGTGTTAAATGAATGGCTGTAGAATACAAGGCTCAACACAAAGACAGCGCCTAGGCGTAGTAGTTCAAATTTGTCTTCTTCTTCGACTGCACCTCGAGGATGGCGTCCATGTAGTCCTCGTGCACTACCTGATCGGCGTTTCTTCGCAGAGCGATCATGCCCTGGTAAAGAAAAGAAGACGTCAAAAGGGGGGAAGTGCAGCGCAGCAGCCCGGTTATGACTCCACACACACACAGGCCAATTTCTTGGTCTTGTCAAATAACTCTATTTCATTCGAGCCCGTACACACAACTCGCGCAATCTTGAGATTACCAAACAGGTGGCAAATCGTTGCAGGACAAGGTGAGAAACAGACCATTTTGCTCAAAATAAGTCAGAGTCACTACCACAAAACAAGAAACACTGGTCAGACTGGTAGGAACAGCAATACAAAAATTTATTGGATGTTACTAAAATGAGTAGTGGCCGTAAAATGCCAAGAAACAAAAGACAAGGCACGTTTGATGGGCGACCCCGACTTACAGCCTCAACACAAACCGCTTTGCACTGAGCACCATTGAAGTCATCTGTACAGCGTGCAAGTTCTTCGAAATTCACATCCTCGCTGAAAAACAAAAGGCAAACTACGTTTCAAGAAGGCGACTCTGTCACCAAAAAGCGTGACCTGATCAAATTAAACCAGGCAGCACCGATTCTTGAAATAGCCAGCACACCAGGGATGGAAATCAATAGGGTATTCATGCTATCAACGAGCTTCCGGAACTGGCATTTCTTACTAACCATTTACATCTATCACCAGTGACACGTGTGAGAGCGATGGGAACACATCTGTTGAAAAATTTGTCGTTTTAGAAGTAACTGAGTCCATCGGTTTGTGCATTGGTAAACTCTAGGCGAAGCAGACCACAACTTAGATTTTTGTATTCTCGTGAATGCCTCGCAGCCGCGTGTGCTAACTTACTGGACATTCATCTTCCGCGAGTGGATCTGCATGATGCGAGAGCGAGCCTCCTCGTTGGGAGCGGGGAATTCGATCTTGCGATCGAGTCGACCGCTACGAAGGAGGGCGGGGTCGAGGATGTCCACACGGTTCGTGGCTGCAATGACCTTGATATCGTGATTGGGCTGGAAGCCGTCAAGTTGGTTCAGCAACTCTAACATGGTCCGCTGAACTTCACGATCACCAGCCTTCTCACTATCAAAACGCTTCGTGCCTAAAAACATTAAGTATGGAGAGTAATAGAGTGCCGCACTTCCGTAAGCCGGAAGTGGGAATACAAATGGGCAGATCTGAATCAAGGAACTGAAATAAGTGGAGCCAAAATAAACGAAATGGAGAACCAGTTGACAGACAAATAACAACGGGAAAGTAGTCAGTGACAAATGAAAAGTTCGACACAACAATACAGGCATATTTGGCAGGAAAATATTTACTAAAAAATCTCGACTTTGAAGAAAGAATGGCATCTGACTGGACGTAGGACTTCGACATCAGTTTCTTACATCGGAATACAAGGAAATGCCAGAAAATGACGCAGCAGGATTTAACGCAAACGTAGGATAAATCTATGAAAACATGTTACGCAAGAATAAGAAACTAAATAACGAAGCCTTATGGACGCCTCAAAGATAAAAACAGCCATGATTATTAGCGATGTTACGAAGCTGGGGATGGTGAAATGCATAAACCAAAAAATACAAGCGGAGGTTTTTCTACTCACCAATAGCATCTAACTCATCGATAAAAATGATGGCTGGGGCCTTCTCTTTTGCCAGTTGGAAGGCGTCACGAACGAGTTTAGCGCCATCACCAATAAACATTTGGACAAGCTGGGGTGCAGCAAGCTTCAAGAAGGTGGACTTAGTTTGGGCAGCACAGGCACGTGCAAGGAGGGTTTTGCCAGTTCCAGGTGGTCCATACAAAAGCACACCCTTGGGAGGCTGAATGCCTATAACCTCAAATCTGTCCTTATGAGTCATTGGAAGGACAACGGCCTCAATCAACTCCTGGATTTGTTTATCGAGACCACCGATGTCGCCATAACGCTCAGTAGGCCTGTCGTCAACTTCCATTGCCTTAACTCGAGAGTCAAATTCTGCTGGAAGTTTTTCCAGGATAAGGTATGAATCCTTATTGACTCCAACGAGATCACCAGGCTTGAGTTCTTCGTGAGGAACCAAACCGATAACGGGTAGGAAATAAGTCTGGCGAGTGCTTGTTTTAACTACAGCACATTTCCCCTTCCTCTGTGAATCCAAGTCAACGTTCGCGCCGTCTTCTTCTTCATCTTCAGGTTCTACGTCAAGGAGCTACATTCAATGAAATAGGCAAATCCGTTCATACCTCAACGACTGTTGCAACAAGGTAAGGAAGAGCTTTGTTCATCTTGATCTTACTTTTACTATCCTTGACCTTAGACTGCTTCATTTTTATTTCGTGATCGACTCTATGCAACTCAGACTTCATTATCTACAAAATGAATAGTGATTTGAAACAAACATACGCGGATTTCGCCATTTAGCAAGCGAGTATGCACAACAAGTTCATCCGTAGACATCCGCATCACCTCATCAATCATAGAATCCTAGTAAGGAAGATAGGAAACCCATAAAAGCACATACGTCGACATCATCCCAGACAGGGCGCTCAACCGTTGCCATTTCGCCGATTATGAGCTCTCTTGGGGTTATCTGCACGGAAAGCACATACTCACAGGGGGATTGTGACAAGGATAGGAAAAGCTAAGCAAGCTTTCACAGGAAAAAATTTTAGATAAATTAGAATATCAAGCTTGATTTCAATTTTGCAGCAACGCATATTAAAGATATACACAGAGGCTTGTGTTGTTTTTTTAAGATTTTCATAAGCTTACTTCTTATTGGCTAAAACAGCAATATCCGACTATTTGTACACTAAGCTAAGCAGGCATTTCAAAACACCCTTAATTTATTAACATTATTAAAAGCAACTCACTAATTCTTCATTAGATCGAATCAAATTATGCATTTTGATTTATTAATGCAGGTTTCTACCTTCTGAATTCAAACAATTATCTTAAATTTTTGGGTTCAAAATTTCGGTAAACAATATTCGCAAGAATTTAATTGGGGAATATGATTGTTAATATCCGGATAAATAAAATAATTTGTTCTATAGCTTGATTGAATATGAGCTAAATACCGCTTAAGTCTTTACCTAGAAAATGATGAACCACATAAATATGTAAAAAATGCCCTAATTGGTAGCCAGGAGTGACGGGCAAGCCTTTACCTACCTGTTAAATTCCCTGTCCGTTAGGCGAGTTACAATCGTGAAACTACCATATATCTGGTTTCCTTAATCATCATTTGATACAATTGATATTTTTGACAACTAATATTGTAAAACTACTCTGATGACGAAATGGTGTCAACCAAATTTGTGATTTATCCAATCTGCATAATAATTACGTTTCGACAATGAGCGCAATTTTGTCTCCTTGAAAACTTCTTAAAGTTTAAAAACTCATTCTAACTGGTACTGGTATTAGTAGTGTTACAGATAAAATTATATATGCCTGCTTTTTGTTTACACAGACTATCAAATTACGACAAGTAGCATTTTATCTTTTCATGTGTAAATTTTTAAAAGCATTTTATCTACGTTTTAAGAGTATTTGGCAATTTGGTGCCATTATTTACGGTCTTAATTTTGACCCTTACTAGGAATTTTGATGTCACAATGCTATGGTGTGCGCCTCAGTTTTTCTGAAAAAAACCGTGTTTTTTGAAGTGCAAGTATTGTTGTAGTCAGTCATTTTTTTGTCCACGATTCATTTTGTCAAATACAGAGAATCACTTTCCTGGAGCACACAAATTCAAAATTGATCTCTCCTTTTTAATGCCTCTGCTGTTCTGTATATCATATGCAATATTTTCCCCCGAATTGTTCGCGATAACCTTGCCTTATGGGGATTGTAGCGTTTCGATTCCGCTTACCTTCGAACGAAATCACCTTATTCTACATTTTTCATTATGGTCAATGAATGTCCAGGCACCTCAGCAACTAATCAGTGTAAGTTTTTATTCCAAACGTGCTATTTTAATGAATATTGTAAAGAAATCCAAACAGCAACATCTTTTGTAATACTTCCATGCTCGGCAAAAAATTTGAAGAAATTACGATATTTGTTTATATATGTAACAAAATATTAGGTGACGGTGCATAAAGATAGTCTTCAACATCGTCAAACGCAATATTCTTAAACTTTTCTGCGTGAAACTATCAAGCTTTCAGACACAGCAATGGGTAAAGCCTAACCACGCCTTCCATTTGCAAAAATCAAAATCATTTTAATAAAAAAAATGAGATAAAATGCGAATGAATTGGCATAAATTAAAGACTTTGGGTAGATGCATTAAACCAAAAATCGAGTAAAATTATTCAAGCATTGAAGGATGTTTACTGATTATGTTCCCGCTCTGTAGGGCGCATGACAGTCTTTGTGCTATAACTAAATTTTAACGTTGTCCTAATTCCTCCTTTTAGGCCTCTAACATGGCACCTTGTATTGTACAGGAAATGTCGAAGGATATGCCCTTAATACCCAGATACCAACATTTTTTCGGTCTTTTGGCATTTAATGGTATATTTTTCATATACTTAATTATCTTTTATCCTTCTATTCAGAGTCAAGCATGATGTAAATTGCAACAATTTAAAAAAAATTGATTCTACTAACAGCAGTAATCTATGTTTAAGACCAAATAAAGACGCTGAGAAACGACCATCTAACCTGATACTTGGATTTAATTGGCGTTAATTGCAAGTGAGCCACAAGCAAGAAGATTCGGTGTAAGGCGCGAGCGGTAATCCGACCTAAGGTAGGAGAAGGAATAGTTGTTAGTCTACAAGAGAGGTGTTGTCAAGACGAACGCAGTGAGCGTAGTAGGAGATCAAGACTGAAAATTTTTCAGAAGAGTTTTTTTTGATAACTATAACAAGACGAATAAAGGAGCGAGAAATCAGTCTTGACGACAGAATATAAGAGATAAGCTAAGACCCATATTCTGGGTGTTAAGGCGTTCTGAAAGGGTAAAAATACAGTAAGAAGTTACCAGGCATAACTAGCCTTCGTGACGTGGAATGTGGCGTGCGTGACACCTCTGTGTTTAAAGAGATTTGATTACATGCAGGTCATCAGAACGCTAAAGGCAGTTGCCCCAATTACGATCTGATTTCATTTTGTCGACAAAATGGTGAAATTAGAAATACGTTTAAAATAGGGTTACGAGTGTCTCAGAGTTTTCTTTGCGAAATTCCCGAGCGATTAAATTTCTTATAGACTAAAACAATATCAATGATAAATGCAGATAGGTGAAAACTAGTGTATTAAAATTTCTTTCTTAAACAAAGGAATAGGTGTGGCGACGTATTAGGGCGCAGACAAATTGGACCAGCTGGCCTCAGCCAATCCTGTGTCTCTCTGTGTTCCAATGGCATGCGAGGAAGATAAGCAGCCAACCAGAGGAGGACACGACTGAGGAGCAGTATATAATGAGCGGCGTGGCCAGCGTGGGGGACTAGGATTGAAGGCGCCAGACGCGTGGATCTGGCTTCTGATAGGTCAGTAAAGTCTGTTTTGTTGTGCCAGTCTTCTTCCTATTAGGGCTCGGGTATTCTACACAAGCTTTAAAAAGTGTTAAACAAAGATGTCGGTGATTGCATGGTGAAAAATATGTTTCGGTGTAAAAAGGATAGGTTTAATAGATTCTTTCAATTTTTGACCTGTAGGATTAATATACACGCAATGATGAACTTAGAATGATGTTTCTGGTAATTTACATTTGTTCACTTTAACCAATCGCAGTAATTGATTATAATTTTGATCCTTTATAAGGGATGTTAATGTTCATTGTTGCAAACAATGTTGCAAAAGCTATTAATGATGACCTAAAACTATAATACAAGGAAAAGCATGCATTTGGTTGTGCATGTAATGTTTTATCGCAATTGAAATACAAAATGTTTTACAATATTGAACTTTTTATTATAAATATTTTTTACAGTTTATACTGTTGCAAAATCAACCCGATAAATTAAATCGGATTGGCTTGGGCGTTAATTTGTAGCGTGATTGGTATGGAAATAGGATTAACGCCTGTTTTATATTTTTGTGCATTTTTTGAATATTGTATGTATTAAATGCCTAATATTTTGATTTGTGCAAGATATTTGCACATCAAGATACCACAAGATTTGTGGTTTCTTAGTTGATAAAGTCAATGCCGTCTCCTGTCTCTGTTTAGAAGTCATATGAACTTTATAATCTAGCCACCTCTACCTTATGTCTATTTTTAAGATGCCTAATTGTTACAGTTTTTTTCCGAACGAGCATTGCTTCTGTCAATGCCCTTTAGGCCTTCATCCATAAGTATATTGAATGCTGTCACCTTAGTGAAATTTTGCTCAGATTTAAAATATTAAGTTTTCCTAATATGCGTTATGTTAAGTACTTTAACGTGCGTTTCCTTGTAAGTATTTTTGCCGTGCCATTTAGTATTTTGGCTCTTGGTTTTAAATGAGCATTTTATAGTTGGTTTTTATAACGTCATCTTAAAAGTTGATGCCCATTATAATGCTCTTTCCTCATTTCAGGCTAAATAATGCTCTCATCCTTTGAAAACCTGGTATGTTTGGTTTATCGCAATCGCAACCTTTAGCTTGCAGGGTGTCTGCAAAGAGCTCTGCGATGTTTGCACCGAGTTGGGCTGGCAAAAACCGACAGATATCCAGTCCAAGGTTATACCAGTTGCTCTCCAAGGCAAGGATATTGTGGGCTTAGCTGAAACTGGCAGTGGAAAGACCGGGGCCTTTGCTATTCCCATACTGCAGGTTAGGCTGCCTCGCCCTCACCTTTTATTACATTTAGAACCTCTTAATTAAGCCACGCTACAACTACGCGCTTATCATGACACCGACGCGTGAACTGGCTCTCCAGATTAAAAACCACTTTCTCGACTTGGGCTCCAAATTTGGCCTCAAAGTCCTCTGCCTGGTTGGTGGCCAGCATGTTGAGGATCAGTACCGAGCAATCAAGTCCATTCGCCACCACATAATTGTTGGCACGCCAGGTCGTATAGTTCATCACATTGAAAATTGCCGAGAACTCATTCTCGGGCGCATACGTTATTTCGTTCTCGACGAAGCCGACCAAATGCTGGGCGGAAACTTTGACACCCAACTCGAGACTATCCTGTCAAAATTGCCAACGAAACGCAAAACGTACCTTTTCTCAGCAACTATGTCTGGAAATGTAAGTTGATTGATCTAATGCGATTTCGTTCCTAGTTGGACAAAGTGCAGACAGCTTGTCTTCGAATGCCGGTGCGCCTGGAGACTGCGAAAAAGTACACTACTGTAGACAACCTGGATCATGCTTTTGTGTTCTTGCCGGACCAAAAGAGAGACATTTATGTCTCGAAACTGCTTGCAGACCTCGGTGGTAGTGTAAGTCACTGGCCTACGGCTACACAAGTCTTCCTGCCTGATCATTTATCGTCTTAATGCCATCGTTCCACTTGCTTAGATATCCAGTGAGTCACGCACTATTGTCTTCGTTGCCACTGCTCGCGAGTCAGTTCGTCTCGGTGAAATGCTTCGATATCTAACAAGAAAGGATCGGGTTGTCGTTTTGAATGGCCTAATGCGCCAAGAGAAACGTGGCGTTGCCCTTCAGAACTTCAAGTCAGGTGAAGCCAATATCATGGTCGCCACAGATCTGGCCTCTAGGTAACTTTTACCACTTGAAAAATACCTTCTACTTTAACCCGTTAAGTAGCGGTGGTGTTATCTTTTAGAGGTCTTGATATCCCCGAGGTGCAACTGGTCATTAATTACGACGTTCCGACGCATCCTTCGTCGTGGAGCGAGTCAGCGAAGGCGTACGTCCATCGCGTGGGTCGAACTGCTCGTGCCGGACGCCCAGGTCGTGCAATCACTCTTGTCACGCCGTATTCCGCCACACGCCTAAAAATAATCGAGTCAGCTCTTGGCTCCCGAATTCCCCAGCTGCCGTGGATCGACCCGTCTAAAACCGATCCCCAATTACTCCACACAATCGATCAGGCCACCACCCACGCCAAAACGGTGAGCTGTCAAAGTGTTTACCTGCACGTCTGTGGAAGGGATTGTCATAACCTTAGTACATTGTCTATCGTCGATACTGACGTGTCTACAACATTTCCGGTCACTTCAACTGTGTATGATACACTAAAGGATCTCTGCCGTGATCTCTTCCAAAGTTATGTGACCACCAGTGAGTTAACTAGAACGATGGTAGTCAATTTTGGAGGTTTCTGGACCAGTCGTTGAATAGCACTCAGGTAAACGTTAGAAGCTCTGTTTATGCGGACAGATGTGGACACATTTAGTATTCCTTTCTCAAGGGATATGGGAAGGTATAACGCGATTCTGAGTGTTGTGCATTGCTGCTTCTTACAGGTGCTTCGCAACAGCGACAGACGCCAGAAACAGTTGGAGGAGCGACGAAGCAAGAAGCGACGTCGCGGCTCGGGTGACGCCGAGGAACACGACGAGCCTCCCTCTGGGGATTCCGACGACGCATTTTAATGTGGGCATCGTTTTTACGCCAACCAATAAAAGCACACGTCTTGTACAGCCTATGCCACGGCCGTTCTAGTTCCCTCAAACTCCGTTTGAAGTGGCCGCCGCCGATCTGTGTTTTTTTGCAAATCCGAGCACTATCATTCTCACGCAATAAGTTGTTTGCGATTCGGAGCTAGCTAATCTACTAGTACGGAAATATCGATAGCCACCGAAGTGACACTAATCGAATTTACTCAGCAACTCGCCATTTGATTGGTTCTGAAACAGTTCTGTGACTGGCGATGCGTTAACTGCTTGGAATAACAGATGGACATTTAGTACCGAGTTGCGTTTCTAACAGTGTGATTGCTGTAGTGTGTTTTATGATTTCCTATATTAGAAACGATGTTCCGCACACCCACTTGGCGTGGTTTTTGGCGTTTTTTAACAGAAAGAACCATTTTGAGAATCACAATTACACAAAGGCAACAGACGGTTTCGCTCAGATGTATAGTGAATTTAGTTGATCTTTGGCACTTAAATCATCTCCTTCAAGAGTTCACGCAAATTCAGTGAGGCGTAAAACTTTGCTTGGGAGAAAAAAACTGATCTTATTTCGGAAGCTGTTTGCGACAACTCAAAATCGGAAGTCATTAAAAGTGGTGTGGTGTGTGAAGAGGTCATGTCCGTTTTTTCTCACAAGTTCAAACTCGTTAAGATTTATGAGTTGCGAAACTAACTCGTGTGAACGTCCCACAAGCGGACCGTGGTTGACAGCCGCAGGGTCTGTGGTTGCGAGATACAAGTGGATGCTAATTTTGTTGGGTTGCAAGTCACACTTCAGAAAACGTTGAAGAAATAAAATCTAGAAAAAAATAGGTGTTGAGGCGCAAAATTCCACACGCAAACGGGAAAAATGTAGCGAATACAAAATGAAATCGGTCTTGTGGATTATTTTTCCGTACACTGGAACCAGTTTTTGTACAATCGAAAAAAGTAATATTATCACTTAGTTCCTATTGTTTGCTAGCATTCCTGCGAATCACCTTGAAATGTGTGGTCAGGCGTGCTATGTGAATTTGCTAACTTGTTAGGTTTTAAACCTCGAAAAATCGATAATCGTGCGCATTTAGGGTTTTTGAAATGCGTTTTAGCATGACTATTCTAAGGCCTTGAACTTCCAAATCGTGTTATGCACATTCGCCTTCGTGGCTACCATTGTGATGTTTTTTTTCTGGTTTTAATTTCATTATCTTCCGGTAACTCAGATCTAATTTGCATGCTCACATGCAAAAAATCAGAATTTGCAGTCAGACAAAGGTTGTCAGATGATTGAAAAAAAATACTGCATGGGTGTAGGTATGTAGTTACAAAAACCAATGCCAAGTTTAGGTAGAAAGTGGCGAATTTGGAGCCAAATCGAAAAATATGCACATCCGTTTTGTTTGTAGCTATTAGTCATGCACTCAGATAATTAAAGAGGCGTTATTCAGCTTAACAAGGGCCTTGTGACTGTAATGCTGATTGTGCACCCACATGCCACGAATTCCAACGAGAATAATCAATATATGAAATCGATAATCCAATTGAGGACCAATCAAACCGCAACCAATTAGAATCGTAGTTATGAGCCAATCGACAGCCGAACAACGGTCCTAAGGTTTGCCACGACAAACAACGGTAAAATATTCCTCTGCGGGCTCAAGTGAAAAAAAAACAGGTAGAACATTTTGAGATGGCAATAACAGTGGTGAGGAATGTTGGATCTAGTCGGTTAAATGTAATGCAGGGCAGTCAGGGAGTTCTTATCATTTGATCTTACCTCAAAAACAATGGTTTAGCACTTGTGCAAGGATGTGTCAGATGTCTAGAAGGTAATAAAAATGTCATGCGCATGATTAGCATCTTGACAGTTTCAGTAATGACATTTATGACAACCCTGGCACAGAGGTTTTGCACTATTTTCAAATCGACATTTCATTCGATCAGATTCAGCAATTTCAGTAACAGCGCTAGGTCAAAATGTCAGCTTTCTCAACGAGTGAGTTTGTTCAAGTCATCGCTTTCAAATAACCCGCGTGGTCGTTCGTAGCCCTCCTATTGGTTGCGCAGACAAGTTTTAGTGTGCTCCCTTGTGCACGAAACCCATTGAATTGCTGAATTCCGTGAGTGTGTAGACGCATTGTGAGCAACTCACACGACCCAATGTTAAAATCCAGACAAAACATCCGAATCGAGTCTATCGAAAGGGCATTATCTCTCATCCTAACAACGCCCGACTAAATGTCATTCAATAGATACTGTAACAACTGAGGAAGCTTAAATGGGAAATCCCTCGGCGGTATCAGGCGTATCTCAATTGGTCGGCCCCTTCACATTTCCATCTTTCGTTTTTTGCAAAATAATCTGAATTGATAAGAACAATTGCCCTGTCGAAGAACTCGAAAAAGAGCCTACAGCTTCCTTTGAAGCAGCTTCAACAAATTATTGATTATTGAACACCGTTTTATGGGCATACCGTACAATAAATTTATCTCCAAATGAGTCAAGTAATTTCACAGTCCCTCAACACTTCAGTTTTAAAACAATATTTAAGAAAACGAATCTTCCTTAAATTGTTCCCCATTGCACAATAAGTGCTAATTTCCATCAAGAAAATGTTTTTTTTCTAAATGACATTCACTGGAATCCGGTCAAAACATTTTTCAAAATCCAGTGTCATCGAGTCTAATTTGACCAATTACAAACTGCTGAATAAAATTAGGTTGTAATCTCTTGCCCTAGACTAGCAAACCCTTTCAAATTAGCGGAGTGACAACTCACCTTCGATGCTTCGTTGCTATTGGTTGAAGCAGAAGGACACAAGCACGAAGTCGAATTTGATTGGTGTTTTGGTGGCCGCGTAAGAGCCACCTTCACAGTGTCGTTCTTTTCACCTCAGCCCTCCCTCCACTACTTTAATGAGTTTAAAAATTATTATTCAGGTGAATAACTAAACCCGCATTGCAAAATGCTGTCACTCTCTCCCAAAGTCGCATTTACATGTGACCGTTCCTTACAGTTCATTTTTTCGACGGCGTAGAAGCTAGATCTCTCTCAGTTTTACACGGATCATGAAAACGCGCATGCTTGACAACTGACATCTCAAAAAACCACGGAACTCGATACACAGTCACCAATATCTCGCTAGTTTGCGGTGAGTAATCGCGCGAAGCCATCATTGGATCACGGTACCGTTTCGCTGTTGGTCCAAACGCGCGCTGCGCAGAAATCGCCTTTTAAGTGGTGTGTTGTGGATTAAGCGAAACCGCGCATCTGGCGCTAGCACCCCAGCCACGCTCATTTGCACAAACCGACGATGATTCTGGACTCGGTGCACGAGGAGTTTGAGCGGATCGACTCGAATCACTATGGGTACATCACGCGCAAGGCACTGCAAGACTATGCACGTAGGACGAACCAAGATGCCGATTTTGTTGAAGTGAGTTCTCTTAGCTTAATGTTGCGTTTTCGGGGGAAACATGACACTAACTAGAGCATTCATGTCGGTGAATTGAAAGAGATGATTGTCTCCTAATAAAAGTTACGGATTCTGCCAGATTTGGTCGATTCTGACGGGCCATCTCACGCAAATTGACTCACTATCTAGACTTGAGGTGGTGTCCTATTTTCGACGCTTGGCCGAAAATACGTTATTTACTACTATTGTATTTATCAGTAATATGAAGGTTTTATTTCATTTAATAGGTGTTTTTCAATATCGACACAAATCGTTACCCCTGTTACTAATATGGATAGTTCTGACGTTTTTTGGTCGCTATAGATCCAATGATGTTGGTGTGTGTTCCATGGGGTTCAACAGAATTAAGAACAAACAAAAAGACATAGAGATACATGCGCTAAGTGGAATTCCAAACATCTTTTAATATCACAACAAGCAGGATCGGAGATGTGGCACGAAGCACAGCCCTGTGGGTGGTCGACATTTTTAATTCGCCACCCACCGAGCGCGCGAGTAGAGTAGATGCCGAAACGGACCCCCCGAGTTAGAATACGACAAAGTTGCAGCACCATGGTAGAAATATTGACAGTTTGTACGTTGGCAAGTGTCGATCAACACGACCCATCAATCTGCACGACTTTTGTGTAAGTGGCATTCGTGAGTGGTTGGCAAACTGTCTTCGATCTCTGAGAAAGGCATTTTCACACTAGTTTTAATTAAATTACCAGTGATAGATGTCACAAAATGTGACATTGAAATAGAGAACAAAAAAGCTGCAGTTTGTGGGTTGGGGAAATGTTTGTGACAAGATAGTTGTGCACTCAGATACAAAAAAACTTGGCTGATTGGCGGTGCTTCTGTGTGTTGTAGCATTGGATGACGTGGTTCGATGCGGACAAGAAGGGCTACATAACGATGGAAGACGTCTGTACCACACTTGGTATTCCAATGAGGAAGGAGTACACGTAAGTTGAGCTTGTGTTTGAACCAGACATCACGGTTGGCTGGATTTTTTAATGGTAGAAAAATGTGTTAATGTCGCGATTTCTTCTAGAAATCGGCACTCATTGGCAGTGAATCATAAACGCCTGACACCCACACGAAGTGGGTCGGGATTAATGAATAGCGATTTCACACAACTTGAAGAGTTTTCAAGTGTTTTAAACGTTGCTCGTAAAACCTACTGTTTCAATAATAAGGATATTTTTTAATGGAATGGATGAAAGCTTCATCTAGAGTAATGCCTACGGTGTGGGTTCAAATTCATGAATACCACGTTGGTTAAAATCTTATTTCATAGTATTGATTTTCTGGTGTGCAACACTGAAACGGTAATTGTCTGTACAGGCTCTCACGAATGGTCCAATCAGGCTCTAGCGTGAACCCAAGGTCAGACAGAGCCTACTGATTGGCCAGTTTGAATTAAAATTCAGATATCCTAGAACAGCAAGAAAACACTCAAATTCATTCTTGTTGTTGCATTTGAGATAAGATTATACGTTTTCACACAGTTGATTTTGGGATATATTAGTAATGCTTACATCTGCAAGATGTACACTCGCGAAAACAGGAATCTTTATACTAAGGTGCAACGTTTGTCAGAACATTTAAATAAAAAACCTGACTGTGAACTTAATTTGTGGGATTTTTGCAAAATTGTTGTGTACCATTTTTAAGTAAATACCACAGGAATATGAGCTAATTTAAACAAAACAAATAGTAAATAACTAGGCATTTTTTGCTTCTGGAATTTAATTTTTTACAGGTCAAAAATGTAGGAAGACGTAGGAAATTAGATTTAAGTTTTTCAAAACAAGAGTGTGAAGATAGGTCAACAGTTGACTCCGAGAAATCATTCATTGAAGTTACCTCTTCATAATCATTCCGATTGGACAGTTCTTGTTTGTTTTAATGAATGTGGCTGCGTCCAGTTTAAATACTTCTTAAAGAAATGCGAGTTATCCACCGTCCAAGCTTCCCTTTAATTTACTTGCACAATCAAAGTCAGCAAATCGTGTTTGTTTAAAATTTAGACAGAAGGTGGAGGAGAAGCGAAGCCTGATATCACAGGGCATAATTCCGGCGCCGAATGACGCGCCAGCCGTTTTCGCAGCTCCCCCACAACCGAAATCAAAATCGACCCAACTGATGGACGGCGTGGAGTTGCTGAACCAGACTCCAGTCAAAGACGGCATCCTGGAGGGCTGCGTGCGCGTGGTGAAGGACTTCCCGGGCACCTTCAAGGAGGAACAAGAAATGGCGCGCTACTTGAAGGAGCAAATGGAGCTGCGTTACAAGAAGTACTGGCAGGTGGTTGTGGCCAGTTCGACGATTGGCTGTGTGGTTGGCCATGAGGCGAATACCTTCATTCACTTTCGATACGACAATCACCTCTACATTCTCTATCGCATTCCTGATCCGACTTCGTTATAACGCTAATAATATGCCTGCTATCTACACTTTTTAACGCTTTTGGGTGAACTGGGCAATGGAAGGGTTCAAATTCGCGCACTTTTTGTTTTAGTGAAGCATTTTCGCTTCCTGGGTCGTAAGTTTGAGGTTATGTGGGGCGAAATTTCGTTGCAGATTATTTTTTTCCACCAAACTGAGGCAAACTGGTAAGGTGAAATTTGACACCCCTGTGAACAATACGTCGTCATGGCAACGCCACGATCAAAGTGTCTAGTTCAGGTGTTCACATGCACTTCCGTGTGAAAAACTCTCCTTTTTGGAGGGATTCAGTTAAGATCCGGATTTTTGTAAAGTTATGGAATTCGATTTCTATAAAGATTTCGCTTCGATGACCGAAAATGAATTTTTCTTGCTTGATTGTCGGAAGGGACACCAACTCCACCGAGATCGCAATCATACCCATGCTTGTATTTGGCTTGAAGCATCAACTAAACTATGCCAAAATAACGACCATTCGCATTAGTGATTAATCGGCTCAGACGGCAGCATTACTCGTGCAGATTAAATTGCTACTGTTATTTGTGTCAGTAGCTGTAATTTTAAAATATGGGATGGTTCCAATACATAGTGATTTTCCGTCAAATGCTGCGCTGAATGCTAATATTTTCAACTAATCCTAAAAAAATCAAGTACCAAGTCAGCAATGGGGAAGATTAGGAGAAGGCACACGGCCACTTAGGCTTGTGCTTTGAAACTACAAATGGCACCCCTTCAATGTAAAAGCTTGAAGAACTTTATAATGAAAATATCTAATTACATAACTTCGAATGTAAAATTAATTTGGCTTTTCTTAAAAGAGTCATCATTTTATTCATTGAAATACCGAGTTCAAGCATTCCAAGGTCACTTTTCTGATTGTTTTAATCAATCCGGGTCTAAATGGCAACAAGTTAAATTTCCACTCGTCCGAGGCCATGTATTTTTAAAGACTGTGCATGTGGTCAATTACTCGTTCGGTCTCCAATGAGTCCAAGTGCTCACTGTCAGAAAGGCCAAATTTCGTCAAATTTGATAATTTTTAGGTCAAGGAAACAACCGACAATGTTGCTGTAACTTAAATCCAAAATGCACACCACTCCAAATTTTTTAACAATTCTATTGGCTCTGACCACAGTGTCCATAATTAACTTTGAAATGGTGCGTATTATGTGGCAGATAAAATCAATACTATGCCCTATGGATCTTTATTAACTTTTAATGCCAGTCGTGGTGACTAGCCCGATTTGGTTTAGGTGAAAATTTTGCGTAGTTTTTGTATTCGCAGAAAATCGAAATTCAAAGATGCTGCATCAAGCTGGTCCACCACAAGGTTGTTTTAATGTCACTGCACAAAAGTTTGGCGGTCACTTTGAAAATATGAGCAGATTAAGATGGCCAACCATCGACCAATCAGAGAATAGAAATAGGTTGACAGATCGATACAGCCACTGATTTTTCATCGTAGACAAGCAAAATGTTGTACCATTCTTGTTCTGGCTAGACGTACTTTTCGAAATACTCTCTCAAATTTTGCCTTGGTTGGACGTGAATTTTGGTGTCCATGATGAGCATTCGTGATGGGTAGTGAAATTTTGCATATTTTCAAAAGTAATTCAAGATATTTCTATCATTAACTTTGTCTTACAATAAAATCAGTTTCTGGTTACTGTGTCTGGCTACCATACAAAGATTGGATCAATAAAATGCCATTTCGAGAGTTTGATTTTCTTATATCAGAAATTAGCCAACCAAACGATTCGACCTTGAGTGCTGCGGCCAAAACAGGACTCTTCATCATTTTGATTCGTCGCACCGACAGACATTACGCTCGATGGCACTTTTAACTGAATTCGAGCTAAACACACTACTAGCTCAGTATCTCAAGTAGTATCTAATCTCCGCCTGTGCTTTTAGCAAGTGGACACAAGTTGTTTTTCTGTGTGCTAGGCTCATCTCACAGGATCACGTGTTGTTTTGCAAACACACCAAAACCTCTGCAATCGACGTGTCCTCATTTCCGTGAATCGTCGCACGTTCACCGCGTCAACAACCACGCCAGATGTGTAGAAAGCGCGATTTCGTGGAGGAGGCGGTGTTTGAGGAGTTCACAACCATCGCTGGCAGCGTGGGTGGATGCATTTCACGAGAGGACCTGGCCAACTACGTCGTGCGCAATCACTTCCACGCCGAAATGACCGATGTAAGTGTTTGAGCACACAAACAACTCAGCTTGAAGGATTTAGACTGAAAGTTTTTTTATGATTGTTGACGAAAATGCCTTTTTTCAATCAAAAGAACTTGCATGATTGGTCAACTTATAAGCGGTAATGCACCGCCCTTGTACTTAAGTAGTGTTTTGGGTACACACACGCGCAAATTTTGTCCACTAAAGTGAATTCCAGGATGACAAATCATAGGGCCAGATTGCTGGATGTCTTTTTGATTAAATTTCGGCACTGTCGCCAAGGTCATTTGTTGACACTGGGGTTTTAAAAGGCTCATCTCCAGGGCAGCATCAATTGACAGCGGCGGCGGCCTTTCATGCTTGGCTTTTATACTTAGTTATGTGACAATGCGAAAACAGGAGGTTAGCAAAGCTGAACTGTCAACAGCAATAGGTCGGCGCATTCGCCTGCCACCTATTAAAGCGGCTTGTGCAAACAAGCCCACCCAAAGTAGGATAGAGGTGCAGCATGAGCACGAATACCCAGATCGGTGCGCTGTTCGAGGAAGTTGATTCCGATCACAACGGATTCATTACGCAAGATGACTTGGCCGACTACGTGAAACACAACAACCTCCCTGAACGAACTATTGATGTAAGTAACTCAGAGAAAATTGTATGCTTGCGACCTGGCTATGCACTTAATTGGAAGTCAGTGCAGCCAAATAAAGAGGAATTACGAAGGTGACCGGGTTATTGTTTTGGCTAACATCGGGAAAAGAGGTAAATACATCACGAGGTATTAAATCTGATGATTTGAGTGTTGCTAAGGCAACAGGACTAAAGGAGCCTTTCACGGTGAATTGTACACAGGCCATAACTTACGAGAACCACCCTTAGAATACTGTCATTGGTCAAAACATTGGCCACTGATTGGCTGACCGCAATGATTGGCTACTTTCGCTTGAGCAGTCACAATTCAGCCAATTACAAATTTTTTTATAAATTAACAATACCTGTAATTTAAATTTTCGTTTTTTTCCTTGATCACTGTAAATATTTTGAAAGGTATAATTATTTTAACTGTCTGAAAAAGAACCATGGTGGGAAAATCAAACTCTTTAGCATTTTCGCTACTAACTTTGCAACTGAGCAAGTAATCTCTCTCTCTCTCATTTTGTCCTTCGGTTCGCCAATTTACCGTAAGGTTTCATTTCAGTCTTCCAAAATTTCGACTCTTAAAAGTGATTGGACAACGCACAATAAATTGTGCACATAAAAAGCGGTTTCGTGAAAAAAAACTTATTTCCTTTCTAAATTACTTTGCACACAAGGAATGTGTGTGTGTGTGTGTAACGTTGCCTCCTTCGACGGCTGAGTTGGTTTTCAACAAACAAACAACTTGGCAAGCAGAAGGAGCAACTACTAGCGACAATCAGATGAGATGTAGGTGATTGTGTGTGTGTGTGTGTGCGTGTGCGCATGAGAAACTAGTCATGCATATATAAAGGTGCCTCACAAGGTGTGCCAGAGCGCTACTGAACTACGCGTCCCAACTCTACAAACTAACTTACCGCTAACTTCATGGCACTAAGGCCTGACTCGGATTTATCCCGAGAATTCGAAGCAATTGACACCGATTTTAACGGTTTCATTACGCGCGATGAGCTGCGGGCGTACGCGGAGAAAACCGGCAAGCCGGAGTCAATGGTTGAGGTAACTTTGGACACCCCGATTCAGCCTGACCGTGCATTGTGGTCTTTTGTAGGACTGGTTTAAGTGGTTCGACTTCGGAAACACGGGAAAAATTACGTATGAGGACATGTGCGAGACGCTTGGCATCAGCATGACAAAAACCTACTCGTACGTCTGATGCATCTTCACATTTCCTAAAAAGTATTTCTGCTTTTAACAAACGAATTTGCTGACCCACCGTAGAGCATTTAGAATGTTTAGTCATTGCACTGATTTGTTTAAAACAATGCGACCTTGATCCAGGCTTGGTAAATCAAATAATATTTGATTTTGAATTACCCATTTTGTGAAGAAATCAGCATTCTTCTAACCAAATTTGCTTAGAGTACAACGAGGTTTGCTTCCTACAAACCTGTCACTGTTAATACTACCATCGATGGCATTGCAAAAATGCTTACAATTTTGCCAAATAATTGAGTTTCTGCGTCAACCGGCAACCGACTTGAGTGTTGTGAGATGGCACTGCATTAAAGTACTTTGTCAGCTACAAAGCCGAGCGGAATCGGGTTGCTTGAAATCGTTTTAATTTTGACGACAACACAGCTGACATTAAACAGGTGCGTCAAGTGTGGGCTCCAAGTCATCTCACGCTGTGTTACCTAGACATTACACGTAAATATTGAGAAGTTCTCGCTAGACGAACATTATTGATTGGAAAGTGTGAAAACACACACCTGCAGTCCAATAAGATTTCTCCGATTTTATTGGCAAGGTCATTTGCTTACCAATTAGCTTGGAGTAATAAAATGATTACGTTATTTCTCTTAAGATAAACTAATGCCACTAGCGGTGCCAGAAACCGGCATGCGCTAAAGGGTGAAATAAAACACACAGCAACAGCCGAGCCTGTTTCTTCAGGACACATTCAATTTGGGTGATTAAAACAAAAACTCTCTTGGCAATGTCAGCAAATCTTAATCAGGCCGTAATCTTTCGACAGAATCCGTCTTATCAGACTTCACTAACAGAGATGAAGCACTGGGTTACAGGTGGTGTTTAATGAAAACAGCAAAAATCAATATATACATTCGAGGGATGAGATGGTAAGACCCTACAAACAGTCAGTGAGTAAGTTATGAACACAATCAGACTTTTGTAAAGTAATGCGATCTTCACGAGGTTATGAGTAAGCCGGTGCAGTCGGGAACGGTCATCTATGGGTCTAATTAATTCAACGCATTCTCTCGCATGCAAATGCATGTAAGCTGCGCCGCATATCCGTCACCCGTGTGGTATTTTGCTTCTTCTTTAGCAAGAAGGTGGAGGAGAAGCGAGAGCTGATCAAAAAGGGCAAAATTCTGCCGCCAAAACACATGCCCGAGCAATACGCGGCACCGAAACCCAAGCCAAGCTTGCTTGAGGATGTTAATGTCCTCTACACTGGCAAAACGGAGCCAGGTCTGCTGGAAGACGCGGTCACCGCAGTGAAGGAGAACGCCGATAAGGAGGAGTTCAAGAAGGAATCGCAGTTAGCCCGCGTCTTGAAGGAGAGCATGGAGAAGAAGTGGGGGCGCTATTGGCAGGTCATTGTGAGCCGATCTACGTTTGGGTGTGCTGTCGGCCACGAAGATAATTACTTCATCCACTTCAAGTACCGACACCACCTCTTCATCCTCTACCGCACCACGGAGTAGACCTCTTTTTTCCCGACCAACACCATCGAATTCTTGCACATTTAGATGTTTTGAGTAAACAGATTGCCCAACCACAGCACTGTTATGTTTCCAGCACTCACAAAGGGTTCGATGGAAACCACTTTTACAAGCTTCTCAAGTTTTCCCCTCCTAATCATATTGTTTCGCCAATCAGATTGCATCTGTCTCTCAGCGACGATTTAAACAAGAAGGCTTTTGCACATTCGTAATTTTGAGTGTAGAAAAATAAAAAGGCGCTATTTGGTACAATTTTGGTGATGTAAGCCTAGATCAAGATAGTGTCCGTAAATAACAAGCACAATTTACAAGTAGGGACCAAAGTGATTTAACTCTAAAAGGAAGACTCGTGGATTTAACTGGAGTTCAAAATTGGTTCAAGAATTGCAAAACCCGGAAGCAGATGTGTGTACAAGACGTGTGCTTAAACTCCTTCTCGGTGATGGTGACTCACCCACTGAGCAAATACGTAGGTTTTGCATCTGGAGCACACTTGGGTGACGTCACCGCATCCGTGGCACTGAGTAATTCTGTCCTGCCACGTACCCCTTTCGACTGAGCACGTTCATTCGAGTTAATGAGGCCGTTATTTTTAGTTTCGTGACACACCGCGGAGGTCGATTCAATGTGACGCAGTTAGCACTGCGATCGATAAAGCAATTATGGGGCATAATCGTCAGACAGGCACTAAATTTTCTATTTACGTCATCGACCAATGCCAGTTCAATTCACATGGATGCCTGGTTGGTCAGTTTTGTGGAAAACAGATGGTAAATTAGCTGATACGTTGCGGTAAATTGACAGTGAAATTTTATTGGATGAGCTTAGAGAAGTTAGTTGTGGTGCAGAGACATTTAAAATTCACCGCTCATTTGTCGTTGCCCGTAATTTTGAAATTAGCACTGCATTGAATAAGATTTACCGCTTTTTATGAAGTTATGGTCGGGAAATCTTCGTCCTTCATGTTTAAAAGAAATAATTGCAATTTCTAAAGGTCGACCAAATTCACATATCGACAACTACAAGTTCAGGGAGTACCGAAAGCGAGGAGAATGGCGCTCTGAGGGGTCGTAAATAATAAAATCTGGTTGTGAGGGGTTACGTTAGTCACACACACTACGGTTTAGTTTGTGCTGGTTCAGATTTAAGGTCTTCGATGTGATGTTTTGGGAAGCACTGGAATATGACTGACGGAACGTTGCAGGCGGCGCACTTTTCAAATCAATTTACGTATTCAGTCGTCGATTAGTTCAAACAATGATTACTGCCATAAATTAACCAATAAACCTATCCACAACATCGCTTAAAACATAGTGCTACTTTTGATTTCTGTGTTTTTTAAATACAAATGTTATCTGATTGCGAATAATTGTGTACTCTTTCTGGTTTAGTTCGGTAAAAAACCACCAAATGCTGACCTCAGATTCAACCCGCATACCACCTGATTGGTTTGTTGCTACACTCTTAAAAAGTGCTACATCTCTCAATTTTTTTTAAAAGAAAGACGAGGACAAGGCTGAATGGAGCTTGAACAGGTTTTGAATGCCATTGAACTGGCTGACGCCAATTCAAACGGATATGTGACAAGGGAGGAATTAGAAAAGTATTTTAAGGCAACGGGCCAAGATTTATCGGTTGTGGATGTGAGTTAAGCTGTCCGTATTCTTTAAAGTCACGATATTTACATTGACAAGGCGGTTTGGTTTTGAGTTCATCTTTAAAAAAACACCAGTAAAATTTAGTCTATTTAATAATTAGTAGATTAAATGCCAGTAGTTTGTGCATTTTAACATGATGATACACTTGAGTTGGAACATAAATAGCCGGTTTATTCAGTTTTGTGTCGCATTTTCAGGACTGGTTCAAGTGGTTCGACTTCGATGACAAGGGCGTAATAGAAGCTGAAGACATATGCGATACACTGGGGATACCTATGCGGCCAGATTATGCGTAAGTTTCCCTCAATTGGGTTAACTGGACGCTTCTTCACTAGCCCTAAGCGCAGCCAAACCGATTGACATTCATTTGTTCACTTTAGCCTACAGTGTTTGCATTTGGATCGAAAAGGTTTATAAGTGGACGGTTGGGCCCATAATTTGTTAACTTAGGTAAAATTGGATTCTTATTAACAGATAGCTAAATGTGCTTCCGTATAACCTCGAGAGTTTTGGCGGCCAATCAGCGGACACGTCATCCTCGTGAGGAAACTCCGATTGGTCAACTCGAAAGAGACCTAAGGCCCAGGAATTTTAGAGCTGTTTGGCCAATAAGAATGCAGACCAGCAGCACGGTTTCTATCTGCGCTTGCCGATCTTTTGTATTGCATTTGTCACCTTTCACCTGAGAAAAGAAAGCTGGTCACATGATCATTGCCATAGATTTTGTGCTTTACATTAGAACTTCAAAGAAATGTGATTAATACTAGTGAATTCTGGAAGAAACAGATGAAATAGATTCTCAACTATTCAATGAAAACGGACGAATTTTTACCATTATTAAGCGATATCGGTTGTATCTGAGCAACCTTGAGCAGAAAGATTTATCTGTAACACTTGGGAAATCAATATCTGCATTTATTCGATAATTCCTCATTATTCATGCTTTGTCGCTTCATTTTTTTAGAGAACGAGTTAAAGAAAACCGACGGAAGAAGCCTGCAGAAGCCTCAGGGAAGGCTGTGAATGGAGGAGGCGACGTTCACGGGTCTTCAACAGAGAGTCTGTCGCCCAGCACGCAAAGTAGCAATCTGGAACAGCTTCCAGAGGAGGAGCCCACGCCGACCATCCAGAGCTCACAGAAGCACAAGTCAATGGACTCGTCCAACTTCGTGCGACAAAACAGCGGTTTCAAAGCCGAATTAATTCGTGCAGCATCGACTCCTGGTGGAAAACAGGCCACACAGCCCACCCCAACGGACCTAGAACCAGCCAATCAGGAGGCTCCTGCTGAAGATGAGATTCAGGTCTCAACGGCTTCACAGGCGCAGCACACCGCACCCATGTCTCAAGATCCGTGGCTCGTCGACGGGTTCAACGGCAATGGTGGTGTTAGCGCAAGAAAAACGAGTATCAGCAGTGCCAGCAGCGAGAGCCTTCGACAAAAATTTGAGGTACTTCACGAAGAAAGCGTGGACGAAGAACTCTTGAGAGATGTGATGCGTATCGTGAAGACGAACGAGGACAAAGTGCAGGAGGAGAAAGACATGGCCAAGTTGCTGAAGGATGGCGTTGAAGAGAAACACGGCAAGCACTGGCAGGCCATTGTCGCCTACAACAATCTCGGGTGCAACGTCGAACACGAGATTCGCACATTCATTTACCTGCGGAGAGACAACCACGTCTACATCCTCTTCCGTACACCGATTGCCGATTAGTCAGTTTCGGAGGGTCAATGCTCGTGCGAAGATTAAAGACCACATCAGCGAATCTACTTAAATTTGTTGTACTGTCGAATTTAAACTTGAAGAAAACTGATGTGTTTTCCCAAGGTATTTTGACCTTAAGAGTTTCCAATGGCAAATCTGCAAAAATTATGCGGTTTAGAGGAGAATAATGCTGCTTGAATTCTACGGTATATCATTGTGGAAGAATTGAAACGAGTCAAACCAACTAATTCGTCATATCTAGATCACACCAAATTCCTGAGGACGAATCGATTAATGTCCAGAGTCGTGAAATCTAGACTGCCACCTCGTTAGCAGATAGTTAAGAAAGGTCTTCCAAAAAAACTTGCGTAAAAAGTGGCATGAGTGCTTCAGAATCTACCCCCCCCCCCTAAATCTAACAAACCGATAATTTCAAGGGTTGATGCAGACGCTAACGCTAAGTAACGCGAAACTGATTTATTTGCATATATCGGTGTATTCTATTGGTTGGATGAAATAATCGATAATCCCTAGGGTCCACACAGACATCCAGGGTGCGTGACGCACAATGTGCTAGTTCCCACACATCTGCGAATCTGACGGAACGCGATTTCTCATCCCAGTATAATTCTCATGGGAAACCCTAACCTCGATGCAAATTTTCACCTTCGTGGTCTCCATTGCCAACCGGAAAAAAACAGCCACATAAAGAGGGCAATTTGTGTATTGTGCGACATGCTGAAAAAGTAGCGAGGGTGTGCAAATTAACATGGAAAATCATCAATTTCCTGAAAGACGCGTTGTGGTTAGTTTGGAATCGGCGGGGAGGTTGCGACAGCAGCCGTAGTGCACGAGTTCGCCCGAGTCGGGGTGACGCACGAAGGCGCTGGTTCCGATCCTGCGTCGGCATTGGTGGCAGCGCGTCAAGGCCGTGACCTTGAACATCTGACCAGCGGTGGCCGCGGCACAGGCGATGCGTGATTGGACGCTCTCGCTGTGCGCCGCGCTCATGAAGAATACCAGGCGTGCTTGCAAACTCGCCTGCTGCTTGACCGTTGACTGGAAACACAAAATACTAATCCATTTAACACTTGATGCGAATTAATCAACAAAATTATCTCGATTTCCAGCGCTCTAGTAGTTGTTTTGTGTTTATCTTCGGTGGATGCAGCAGTAGGGTAGATTTCGCAAATAATCTCAACGTAGATGAGTCCATCTGAGGAACAACATCTGTCGATATGGCAGAACATTCCATTGATTTCGCTCTTCTTTGAATCTGGCGCTATTATGTCTACCAACATTTAAACACCAGACAACGCCAACTATGGCAACCTACCTTTCACAAATATGACTATTAGCGAAGTCATTCATGGTGCCTTCGAGAGAGCTTTGCTTCCGATTTCAAACGCCTCGTTTGTAACCGTGAGAACATACATAATGTTCTTGCGCGCAAGCACGTTCACACATACACAAGGCTTTCCATGGGAATTTGTAGTGTGCCATTAAGGGAACACATTCATTACCCTGACCTCTAGCTAAAAGTACACCCTTGAGGTACTCTCTCAAGCTTGAAATCATCAATCGATGGAGGGAGTAAAGTGCGGTTCCACAGAACACCGACCAATGACCAGCCAGGCGATCAAATTGGGACGCGTTGTGAGAGAGAAAGGCGTTACCTCGAGGAACTGTGAGAGGGCTTTGAGGTTGGTGTCACCGGGTACCATGCTCAGCACCGTGGTGGCATCGATCAGCTCGCTGAACTGACGCATGGCCTTAAGAGCCAGGTCCGTCCGTGGCTTGAAGCGGAAGTCGAGGCCAACGTTTGTGGGGTTGGGAGAGGTGTCTACGAAAGGAACCAATCACTGATTAGCTTGCTGCGTCAAAAATGATTGGCTGGTTTAAGTGGACAGTTCACAGTTTGACAGGGTATACCCGTGGTGTCAGAGGTGCGTTTGGTTGGGATAATGCCCAGGGCGATCGGTTCCAGGGGGTTGAGACAGACGTCAACAAGGGTGGTGTAGATCTCCAGCAGGTGGTTATCACCCCTGTCCGCGCCTTCCGCGGACGACAAGAAGCGCCGCTTGGGGGAGTCCTTGCACAAGAAGGTCTGTTCCGCTTCGGCCTGGATCTTGGCGCAGTACTGCAACGCCTGGTCCCAACTGTCCAGCAGGTGAATCCACATTGTCAGAGCCTGAAGTGCACAAGCATGTGAACTGATGGTGCGACTCGACGCACGACTCACACACAGCCTCGTTCGCATGGGGGGAACAGTCGGTTACCTGCTTGTGCCGCCTGAGCCGGGCGAGGAGGGCAGCACGCTCGTCGAAGCAGGCATCGTAGGGCAGACGTGGAAGCAGGTCTTCGGCGGAGAAGTGGGCGTCTTCAGCGCTGAGGAAGGCGAGGAGTCGGCGGCGCAGACAGGCGACCAGGCCGTCGGCGGGCTTCTCGTCGACCACGCGGTTGGCCATTTCGTCGTCACCGAGGCTTGACTGGATTTGGCGACTGGAAGGCAAGAAACAGCGATTTTACGAAGAAATGACAGCGATTTTAACACAAAAGGTGTCACATCTTACGGGGAACATCATGCAGCAGCGTGAATAGCCATCAGAGGATGTTTCACCACTTAAAGGAGTTTTGCACGATCAAAAGTACGGCAGATGCGCGATATGGCGTTCTAAGCCCAAGAAATTTCACACGAGCTATCGAAGGTGTGCGAGTTGGGCTTTACATCCGCTAGGTGGCACACGACTCCTTTACGATTTGCTACTTCAAGGCGTTCTTAGATTTGTTCCCTTTTAACAGCTGACGCCTGTTGACCGTTTGGTTCCACGGAAAGAACGCATAATACCCACCCCATCGTCGTCGTTGTAACCCTCCCCTTCCAGAATGACTGCGTGATGTGTCATTGGTGCGTTTCGGCAACAACTTTCGACGTGGTTTGTGCAGGTTCATCACTGCTACGTCGTATTCGCTTTCGACTCATGTTATGCCACCCTACCGGGGCCGCATTTCATCATCTGCGATGAGGTGCGTCGAAACGTGGACGATTGCATTGCACTCGCGGTGCACATTGCCTTCATGGCTTTGTTGCGTCTGAGGGATTCTCGTTAGCCCATGCGCGACTCAGACAACGCGATTTTCAGTTGTTGTGTATTACACCTAGGGCCTACCTTACAATCTTTCTTGGTAACTTTGTGACTGTGAGTCGATTTAGGCATCGCCTTGATTTGGATGCGTTTGTTTAAATCGACCCTGCAATGGGCAATCAGCGAACGTAATCCCCCGCAATTTGCTTCTACATTAAGCTTAACCGGTGCTCAAAGGCTAAAAAATCCCACTTACACATGAAAACCGAAAGCACACTTTCCTATTGACCAATCAAAAAGACGCGACGTGACCTTGACTTGGTCTACGTCGCCTAGGAAAGGTCGACCAGTTCGACGCTGGTTAGTGTTGCGTGGAAAATCCCCAGGGCGGAATCGCTTGAACCAATTCTGACGCGTGCATTCTGTTGAGCAAGCAGCACATTCACACACACACACACCTTGTTGTGAACCTCAGTAGTTTTTCGCACTTACGGGAACATAATAACCCAAATGTGTCAAGAAGGCTTGTATTTGTACACCAAACTAACAGTGGTTCCACACAAACAAAATTGCCGTGGCTGATTTCAAGTGGCGTAATTTTTACTTCTAATCAATACTCATTCTTAACCACGTCACATCCAGCCTCTTCTGTTTGCTATCTTTTAAAAAGAACTGGAAATGTTGATGAAAACGCTCATCATATTACGTAAATAAGGAGATTCAGCTGTCATCTCGGCACCTCGGTTTGCTCTGACTATCAGCGGAGAAACCCATTGGCCAGGGTTCGAGTCCCGTGAGACGAGGGAGGCGCCACCGCTTATCGGATTATCAAACACCGAGTTGTCCTTGAGCGTAATTGGTCTTCGTGATTGAGCACCGAGTTCGGTCATGCAAACTGACAAAGTTTATTGCAGCACCGCCAATCAAGAAAATTTAGTGTTTGTAATAAAACGTGCACACACAGGTCAAGCGGTTTGTCAAAGTACTTTATTGTATGCGTGTGGTTTTGTGGATCATCAAAGGAGCCGTCACTTTTGCTTCGCGCACCACACGTGACAACCTCGGCTACAAGCAGGCAGCGGCCTCCCAGTTACCATGACAGCGGGATGTTGCGTCTGTGTGCATCCATGACGCCAGAAATGGGCTGTGTGATTTTTGGACACCCTCACTCGAAGGTCGCGTATGGTGCGTTGTTGTTTGAAAACGAATTTCAACAATTACGGTGAAATGTTGCTTTGTGGAATGTTGGAAATCGTCAGCGTTTAAAAACGGTTTCATCAATTTTGGCGATACGTAATACTTAATAGAAACCTACAACGACGTCGGACCAATCAGGACCAATTTCTAGAGGTCAACTTCAAAGTCGGATCTACTCCTGGAATGGGGTATTATTCTAGCAACAGTGGAAGGTCGGTTGCAGAGGCAAGCGAGGATACATGTGAGGTGAAGTTAAATGCGGTTATCCCACGCTGAATTACGCGTGGGTGGGTGTCAGTGTGCAGGATTCTTGCCACTCCAAATATGTTGCAATAAAAGCCAGTTTGTATCGTACCGCTGCCATTTTGAAAATCCGCTGACATGTGCCGAAGAACATGTGGGCGTGTTATGCGTCACACTCATGCCGTAATTGCCGTTGTTCCACTCCTTACCTCCAAATCCACGTGGAGATCAGTGAGTTGTCTGGCGGTAGCTAGAACCGGGGTACAGAGGCACTCTGCAACCAAGGTAATCGCTCTTGTATGCGGTTTGTTCGGTGCAGCTGATCTCTCGTTTCCTGTTACATCTAATGCTGCTATTACTGTGGCGCACTAATTCATGTGTTACTGCATTGCACTGTAGTACGTAACATCACAGCCAGGACTACCCTCTTTGGGCACCTCGCCTTACCTTGAGTGGCCCTCATTCGTGCTATTACGCAGACCGCCTTGTGTTAGTCCCTGTTGCCATGACAGGCGAATTACATGACCACGATGCTGAAGTGACCACGCTTGCTGATAGCACTGGTTTTGCAGGAAGTCGGCGCAACTTGCCAACAGACAAGAATCACATTCTAGTGTGAGGCGCAGGTGTGGCATGGCGGCGCCGAAGTTCACACGCAAATAATCGTGGGAAATCTACCGGCATACGTGTGTATGATGTTCTTAACCTGATCTATACCAAATCAGGTAAGTGTGTGCTGGCGGAGAAAAATATTCCAGCACAGCAGAAGAGGGGTTTGAGGATGGGTCAAATCTGGTGAATCGATGCGCTTTTTACAGTTAAATCCCACAAACCATGTGATCACGTGAAATTAGGTATTGCGTAGGGCTGAGCGCACTGCACTTCACGTTTTTGTCATGTGAAGCGGTGCGCAAATCAGTGATATGACCACTTACTTACCTTAAGCCGATTTTTTTAAAGAAATAATAAACATAACAAGAAACTGGCTGACCGTGGTTGCGCAAACATTCTAATTTGACAACTTCATGCCAATATTCAAGGTATTTTAGTCACTGATAACAAAACAAATTTCACAAACGATGAAATAAATCCCACTTTTTCCTGTTCAGGCGTGTCGAAGTTATTATGCCAAGCAACCATTGATAGGTATCGTGTGAGGTGTTTACTAGAATAATACTTCCACGAATCGGAAACGCCTTCATTCGTGTGTTTTGGTAAAATTTCGATGAACCAGACACGCTAATTCAGCAATTTAGACGCTCACTGAACATAGTGTGTGGGGAGTTGCTGCATACGCAATTCGATTTATGAATGAAGGTTTTGCGAAATATTCAACAACTTCGCCGCTTAAAGAATTGAGTTGAAAAATGTCGACCAATCCGGAACCCTTTCAGGCTGCCTCAACTCAATCTAACAGTCAGCAGTTTCCCCAAGTTGATGCTTGATTGTGTACAAACCTTTTCAGTCAAGATGTAGCCTTTCTGGTTTCTGCATTCTTGGTAAAGAAGATCGTTTGCTAGCCAAAACCCATTGCATTCACTTGTTTTCTGTTTGTGCAATTGGGCAGGGGCGCATTATTTCGTTCCTGTAGGCATCAAAACGGTAAATATAAACTCAAGTAGGTCAAGTTTATATACCTGACAATCGGGAAAGTGCTGGACCAATCAGATTGCAGCATGTCTCTTCAGTAAGGGGTTAGGTCTACATCGGGCTGAATTTTGTGACCGTCTTTGACGTCCCGTCTCCCCACCTGCTGTTTCTTATTCTTCGATTTTTTTCGACAGAATGTCTACAATGTCCCGCCGACTCGCTACAATTTTCTTCTCGTCTTTTTCACCGCCATAATGTTTGGATTCGCCCAACTGATTCTCTTATCCTACCACCTCTACCTTCTGTCCTACAACCGGACCACACTTGGTAAGTGCACTTGCTTTAGTCGGCGGTAATTTGGCCTCGGTGAGGTCATTGGTCGCCTAAGGGTCAAACAAGGTTCCCCACAAGGAAATAACAATATTGGTTGGTTTTTCAAAGTTTGCCAATGGTGGGAAGTCACGTGTGTGTACGGGTGGATAGTTAAAAAAGAGGAATTCCAATCAATGAGGTGATTTCAGCGTTCGAATAGCCATCACAGCATTGTTGTATTGTGATTCTGTTGTCACAATGTCTCCTAAGGTAATCGCTAAGACAATCGTGTGTTGATTTTCCCAACAGAGGGCTTTCGTTCGCCAACATTCCGTGGAAGTGGAGTGGACAAGCGCGGCTTCGATGTCGGCTGGCTTCAGAATTGCAGGGATGTGTTTGGCGAAAATTGCGGCCTCGCTCTCCTGCCAGTCTTCACGAGGTTTGTGGGACCTTTTCCGTAACTCTGGCACGGCGCAATCCTCCCATGCGATCTTGGTTTGATTGATCGACTTACACCGCGCATTTTCTCACATTTAAACCACTTTTTATTCATGTGTACACTCTTGACAGCAATAATTGGTGCTTTGAGGTGACCTTGAGGTGGTGTACTGCGGGCTGTCGATTAAACTGGCATGTCAGCGCCTTACTGCCGGTGTTATTGCAACTTGTGTTTACACAAAGACTGCGAAGTTGTGAGAGAACTTCCCTTCCCAATTTCAAGAGGGTCTTCAGAGTCGCGCGAGCAACGTGAGGTTGTGTGTTGTCAAGCAGTAGTGTGAGTTGTCCGCTTACTTTCCCAATAAATGACCTTTTCTGGTCGCGTTCTTCGCTCAATATGTTCAATTATCTGCTTTATCGTTCAGCAGTCACCATCTGACTAGTTTTCTGGAGTTCGTAGTAAAACACACCCTTCATGCCCCACAAGATACTTAGGAGAACCTTCCTTAAGTGGATGGCATGTTTCGGCGTCAATGTACTCAGTTGTCCGGGATTGCTACACGACTTTTTTTACTTTAGAGATTCTCGTAAAAAAATATACTTTCCATCATCCGCCACAATTGTCTATTCACTGCTTGTTGCTGGTGGGCAAGCAGTGAAAGGTATGTGTTCATACGTTGGTCTAGGCTGCACTCAGTTAACACGTGTCGGATTCTACTTCCGAGTTGTTGAATTTTTACCGCTTAATGCAAACACCTGAAAATAACTGTTTGGGTGACTCCTAATTGAGCTACAAGCTCTTATTGCGCTCATCCAGTAGACTTTGCAGTTGCGCATCTTCGAACCTCCAAAGCCATCCGGGGCGCAGCTGGCCACCGAGATCGAAATCACCACTTCTGAAACGATTGTACACCAATATTTACACGTTTCATTAGACAAAACTTCGGCCCCAAGAACACTACAAATTGATTCCCTCTTGTGCTTTAGTAGCATTTTTTCCTTGTTATAATTCGCATAAAATGCCGTGACATCGAGTGTGTTGTTTATCAGTCGCCATCGTAAACTCTGCTCTTGTGAGGGGTTACGTGATTCACGTAGACTTGTCGTTCGGTGTCCTGAAACCTTGCATTCGACCCCTTCAAAATCACAAAAGACCGTAAAAGTGTTCCTATTTTCATTGTAATTTGAAGCTCGAAGAAAGAATCTATGAAAATTACGTCATACACGTAATATATTTGGGAGTCATCTCATAGATTCTGTCTATCACTCTGATTAAGTTAATTATAAACTCGACATTTACAGCCACATGTGAAATCCCAGCTGTTTAGATTTCTTTTTGATTATTTGAATACCTAATGAAGATTTATTATTACGCAAGTCTTCTAGTGGCTTGCCTGAGGAATTGGTAATTTCACAAGATCCACAACTGGTTTTCGTGGTCCAACTGCCGCTGACTGCTGGTTCTTATTGCCAAACGGTAACCCATTTTCCATTCCGCACTTTTTCAGTCGCGGCAACGGCTACCAATGGAAGCGCAGAGGACACAAGGCTTTCTCCTACCAGTCCCTCGAGTGACCAGCTCTCCGTGTGGGTTACACAGTCCCTCCGTGGGTGGATGAATTCTCCGTCTTTTTTTACAGCTTCCTTGCCTTCTATTCTCTTTAGGCGTGTGTCGATATAAGTAGTACTTTCTTGTCCTACCCGTGCAGCTCTGATATCTCGTGACCACTGTAAAGTTTTACTCCTGCGATCACCTCTTTTGCTTAGGCGGAAAAATGAATTACAATAACTGCAACACAGGTTACTTTTAATTATAAAGGCTTCGTACGATGCAGGAGGGCAGCAAAGTTTGCGCCATGGCGGTCATACGCAGTGCTGTGTAGCTAATCCCAGGATGCTTAAATGCTGCGTAAGAAGTTGGTTTTGTTCGGCAGCCGAATTTCGTCTAACGTGATAGATTAAGAAGCAGTTTCGAGGTGGCTGGCAGAGAATGCAAGAACACGGCTTAATGACAACCATCATTGGTGGCTGTTTTGCGTATGACGAAATTGTTTGCGATTGATTTGGGTCCAGCAGAACTCGCGTGAGCTTTCCTGTACAAATTCTCGTTTTGCGGAGCGTCGAAGCACTGGGAGTCGTTGCAAATGAACTTGGATCGCATATACATTTTGTGAAATATCAACGAGCATTTCCTCATCAGCTGAGCATGAGCTATGAAATCATGTAAGTGGCAGACGGAAACACTGGAAGTTAAGTACTCTAAAAAGTGGGATAAAGGCCCCGCATTATGCATTCTGAAAGTTTACAGTCCTCAAAGGGTAGCCATGGGTCATTTCTTCGTTTAAAGAGTATTCCAGAATTGGAGGCAATAAGTAATCTTGACCAACAAAAATAAATCGACATTCACGTGTGCAAACACAAAAACTCTATTTACAAAGTGTCTAAAGACAAGTTAGAATTCCAGAAGTTATGATTGGGAGGCCTTTTCTGAAGACCACTTATTGAGTGCGTAAAACAGATCGCCGTACGCTCTCTCGGAGTGGGACCGAGGATCACGATGTTCTCGACGATGCCAACCGTCCATACCAGCAACGTTATTTAAGTATCGGTTGTAAAGTCGACGAAGACGTCGCCAGTAATAGTAAGAATCAGGATTTATTTCAGAAAGTGGTGGCGGTCGTCTAGACGTTCTGATTGACCACAACCATTCAGGATATTCACTAAAAAATTATAAAAATACCTAATCAATACCTATCAGGCTTTAGAGGAATCGGCTTGTCGTCAATCCGATAATTTATACAGCAATAATTCACCAACATATTCGTATCAGTCTCCACAGGAATCTCGCGTGTTCGTGCGACTGCAGCAACACCCTTCACAGCTAACGTATTAGAACAAAAACTTAAAAAAAACCTTTCTTCGAAGCAAAGCCACGTTTAAGCACAGTGATTAGGAACCTATCAGCTTGAATAACGGCTGCCATTCGAATTAAACGGGAACAGAGTCAATGAAGCGAGGGGCCAAAATGTCATGAAATACAGGGGCAGAACCAATGACAGCAAAACTGGGTATAGAGAACAATTATATCAAACCTACTCAACAGAATCTCGTGCTTTTAAAGGCAAAACGCAATCGCAACTTCAAATGCATAAATTTTTACTGCTTTTTTAGTACGATAACATTCCCAGCTAATACGATTTCCACATTTAAGTACTTACTACCACACAGCGCAAGATCCACAGAAATAATTTAAAAATTTTTTTTAAATCCTAGAACTAAAACTATGCTATAATTTCATTATATTTCTGATAACATTATGATGGATGAGACTTAGAAAAACTATTTTGGCAAGTAAATAGGTCATGGCAATACAGAACTGTCAGATGAGTCGTCAAAACTTAATTACCAAAAAATTTCATATTTAATAATAAACGTCGAAATAAGTTATTCAAAGAAATTCAGAAGCTGAGGTAACGTTTTGTGTGTAACTTATTCATATTACATAAATTTATGTTGGGAATCTGGCCCGGGTGACACATGGAGACAATCGCGAATCATTAGCAGAAAATAAAGATCGTGTTATCTGCAATTCCCTTTAAGAAAATTTTCAATGTACAGAATTAAAAAGGACCGTGATTATGTCTCAGATTCGCTAGGAATGTTGCTGCTTTCTCCATAAAAAGAACACTGTTGAAGTTTTGAATGGGGTTTGGCTTCTACGATTATGTGTACCAGAACACGTGGTAATTTGCGTCTCGAGCAGGATGATACACTGGACAATTTCCTAAAAGTAGCACAAATTTCTTGGGCTGAAAATTTTTAAAGATAGAACTCAGACTATCGCTGATACATCAGCCAAATAGTTTTTCTACATCTCCTCAAGCCAGGCAGAAATATTTGTTGAGTATTTGGCATAAGACCAATAAGTGGAAGCGCAAGAGGAAGCGTTGGAAAGAGGGGAATGATGCGCAAGAGGAATGAAAATATGACAAATCAAACAAAAGTGAAACCAAAACAAATCCAAGAACGTTTTTGAAGATTACTAAGGCGTTTGTTTTTCCTCCTGAAAAAAAAATATTTTTGCTGACTACCACGGGTTGGCTGTCCGATGTACAAATATTTACAACACCTCAATGAATCAAAACATATTTTACAATGCATTGGATCTATTTGTTGTTTCTTGCGTTTAAAACTGTTTCCCTTAATCTTTGAATTTTGTTTACCATGTTACAAAAAAAGACTAAATGCATTCATAAGCTATTTTAACCGTTATGTAGCATGCGTTACATCCCTTATTACAGATATGACCGATTCAGCCACAAAGTATTCTTGATCTGAACGCCCCAAAAAGCCGTCTATAATTTTAATTGGATACACATTGCAAAGCTGACTTACATTGGAAATAAGTACGCGATTACCCATTGAACGGCACCTGCACCATGAAGGCATTTGCCTAAGGTGGCCTAAGTGCTTGGAGGAAAGCGCATAGATAAAACAGTTTGAGAATGAAAAGACCTTTCTTTTAAATTATACGCTTTATTTTTCATTAGCGAAAATAAGCTTTTTGCTAACGATAGAATGAGGTCTATAAAGAATAAAAGAAAATTTGAAAAACTTGTAAATCCTTAGTACAATAGGGCCTAGCAAGTTAAAGCAAAATGTGCCTAGCAAATTTTTCTTTGCAAATTAGTTCATGTGGCTACAAATTACAAGATTGTGTTTTTACAAGCAAGAAGATTAGCTCTAATATTTAGCATGTGATTCCCACAAATAGATATTCCGATTTGTAAATGCCGTTAATTAATTGTCATTATTACTCAAATAACAGCTTTTTTTATAATAAAGGTATAACGTTGCTCATATTATATCAACACTGACACCATAGTAAGCTCCATGATTATCCATAATATTTCTTGCCAACCTCGTAATACGGCAAATTTGTTGACTGATTATTGATTTCACCTAAGGAGTTATTCAAAGGCCAAGAAATGCGTTCGAGCTTAAATATATCAGAAAACTGAGTATTTAAAACATACATCTTTCTGCAACCGGAATTGATGAAGCATGATATTTAATACCCCTAATTTATTAAAGACATATTAGTGCTAATGAAAATGATAATCAATATAGCCAGGCCCTATTGACCTGGTCAGGTAATGTTAAGTCCTATTGCGCTTGTAAAATACCCGCGCCCCAATAGGAAAAAGACTGGTACAACAGAACAGGCTTTATTGACCAATCAGAAGCCAGAACCACACGTCAGGTGCCTTCCATCCGAGTCCACCACGCTGGCCACGGCGCCCATTATATACTGCACCTCAGTTGTATCCTTCTCTGGTTGGCTGCCTTCCTTTCCCGCATGCCATTGGAACGCTGAGAGGCACGGGATTGGCAGAGGCCAGGTGGTCCAACATGTCTGCGCCCTAATCCGACGCCACACCACACTACCTCCCCCTCAGCAGTGAAGCTGTCCTCAGCTTCTGGCTTGGTTCCTTGCACTGTTGTTGATATCCAGTGTTGGTAAAAT